AGAAAAAAGGTGTAACTGAATCCTATAATTAAAGCACTAATAGTGAATTGTATATCGAGAAATGCGAGAGAAATAGGAAAGGAGAAGAACGGAAACAATTGTAACTAAATCCCCTAATTTAAAGTACTAATAATAAATTAAAATATAAATTTTAATAAAATACAATATACAAATCGAAAATAATTTTGGTAAATAAATTTTAAATATTAGATAGGAACGAAAAAATACCCCAAAAAGTATTTTCCCCAACTAAGGACCACATTTGTTAGCAAAGGTATATGAGGGAGTAGCAATAATGTTTAAAGTTAGATTGATGACATTCTGTCCTTTTAGTTAGGCCAACAAAATTTTAATTTGTGTCTAATGCGTATGACATTAGTTGTACGAGGTAATTTTTTTGTCTTACAATTATGTGAAATCATTTCTGTAAATTCACAAGTGTAAGATAGGTCCACAAATAAATTTATGAGACAAAAATAAGGCTTTTCTCGCCGTAAACTATGATGAATGCAAAGTTTGAGAGAGGGTAGGCCAGTGGGCAGCTTTACAAATCATAATCCAGCTAAGCCAATGGGGTTGGTATCCACTCAAGCCTCTTCTCTTTCTTCTTTCTAAGGCGACAGTTTATTTCAACTACCAATATCTTCTACCTCACTCGACTCTCATTCAATCTTCTGATCCTATAATTTTCATTAATTATGGCAGAAGAAGCAGCTAAGGATGTTGCCGAGGATAAAGCCATTGTTCCATTAGCTCTTCCTCCTTCTCAAGAAGAAAAAGACAAACCCGATGATGACTCAAAAGCTGTTGCCATCCTCGAAACTAGTACGTACATCTGCCCATGTACTTTTTATGTGTTTTTTGTTTGCAATTTTCACTTCAATTTCATGTTTGGCCTGAAAAAAAGTTCAAAAGTAGAATATGGAAAGGAGTAGTAAGTGGTTGGTGCTCTCTATCCGCTCCGTACAAATCTTTCTTTTGATTCGAAAACAATTCTGTTAGGAGTTTTGTTTTCTTTGATAAGCGTTTCTATAGAGACATTTTGTTCGAATTCTCACAGGGTTTCTGATTCTCAAGGGAAAAGTTATCTTTGTTTCAAAATTGATCAGATAATAACGATTACTCCCTTTTTCCCAATTTATGTGACTGAGCAAAAAATTTAACAAAGTAAGAGAGCATTTTGAAACTTGTGGTCTAAAATCCTGTTATTTAGGGTAAAATTGAAAGTTTAAAGTTATGTTTTTGTCTTTCTAACGTGTAATTCTTTTTGGAACAAACTAAAATAGAAAAAGTGTCACATAAAATGGGAAATAGTAAGTTCGGAAAAGGCCTAAAAATGCTACTCAACTTACAGAAATGGCCTATCGATGTCATCCGTTAAAAGCTCGCTCTTTCCATGCCACTACCGTTAAACATTTGGCCCATCTATGCCATTATTTGACTAACGGCTGAATTTTTTCTTTTTTAAATATTTATAATTAGTGAATAGACCCACATTTCCACGTGTCTGTTCATTATTGGTCCGACTTTACCCCTGCCCTACATTAGTTTTAACCTTGGTTAGGTGTATTTACCCAAACCCAACCCGGTAAAAACAAACCCAAGATATTAACCCAAGGGATACAATGCTGCGAAATAAGAGCAAAATAAGCATTATCTGGGTCATCGAGCAGCGCGTGAGCAAGAAGGCGGCGCATGGCGGAAATGAGCGTCGGCAATGAGCGTTGAGTTCTCTTCGAATGTATAAATCTATCAGTAAAAACACCGGTTGGAGGTGTGATTTTCACTGTAGGGTCAGTGTGTATGTAGATATTATACAGATGCGGATCGGAAGCATTGAAAAATTTATGCCATAAGGATTCGAAGTGTAAATCGAAGTTTGTTAGGAACAAAAAGGTGATTTTGGGGCGGTGGATGGAGGCGGAACCTTGACGGAATTTGTTGGAGGGATGTTTATAAAAGGGCTTTCTAAGGAAAGTGGAATCGGTGGTGATGGCTTTGTGAAAAAGGGAAAGATCGTCGAGTAACCAATTTGGGTTAGGTTGGGTTAATAACAGAGTTGAGTTAATAATTTGGGTTAGGTTGGGTTAATAATTTGGGTATGTTTTAACGGGTTGGGTTTGGGTAAATGCACCTAACTAAGGTTAAAACTAATGTAGGGCAGGGGTAAAGTCGGACCAATAATGGACAGACACGTGGAAATGTGGGTCTATTCACTAATTATAAATATTTAAAAAAGAAAAAATTCAGCCGTTAGTCAAATAATGGCATAGATGGGCCAAATGTTTAACGGTAGTGGCATGGAAAGAGCGAGCTTTTAACGGATGGCATCGATAGGCCATTTCTGTAAGTTGGGTGGCATTTTTAGGCCTTTTCCGTTGTAAGTTTAATATATTGGGGAATCTATATCTTGTTGTGATTGGAGAGACTTTATACATGCTACTGCCAGTCTGCCACTATCAAAAGATTTTACTTATATATGGTACTCCTCAAGTTTTACCAATCTATGGTGTTTTTGGATAATCTATTGGCTATTTAATTGATCAGCATAACTGATAACTTCATTTCAGATGACTCGATTGTTTCTTTACTTCCCTTTCTTTATTTAACTTGCAATTTGTCCATGTTAAAGAAATAGCCTAAAAGATCTACTCCTCATCTATATATTACTGGAGCTAGTATTATACATATGTGTATTTTTCCGAATAGTGATTAATTTCACTTCCCCAGCAATCTATAGTTCATTGAAGTCTTTCTCTAACTTGTATGTGCAAATGTTTTGTCCTTGGCAGAAGCACTAGTACCTGTTGAGAAAAGAGGATCTATTGACAGAGGTACTTAGGATTGTTTTATTGTCTTCCATCTCAAATCAATCTACAGCTCAATCAAACCTAATTTGTATATATAATCTTCAGATGCAACTCTTGCACGATTTACGACAGAGAAGAGGTTGTCCCTAATCAAAGCATGGGAAGAAAGTGAGAAATCAAAAGCTGAAAACAAGTACGTTCTGAGACCGCACTTTCTCATGCATGCTGAGGTTCTACAACTAAATTTACTGTTGGTTGGAATTTGACATGCATACCTCAAGTGACAGATTTTTGTGGATTATGGTGTTATAAATGACTTGTTTTGAAGCCATTTTATCAGCTATTTCTTCATTTGAGTGAATTTATCAATTGTATGACAGTTGTTTCACTTGGTTATGCTATTTGGACACACACAAATATTGATGATTTCTGGGCTTTTCTATTTAGTTCTTGATGGATAAGAAGGGAGTGAAACTAGGATTCATTCATTTATGTGTAAATTTATTTAAGGGAGTATGCTTATGAATTTCACTTAAGCTGGTAATCTGAACCATTTTTTCCCACTTGTTGACAGAGCTCAGAGAAAGCAATCTGAAATCCTTGCTTGGGAGAACAGCAAGAAAGCAAGCTTGGAGGCTGAGCTCAAAAGGATTGAGGTGACAAGTCATTCTTCTATTTTGCTATGTCCCCATGCTCTAACGAGTTACATTGCATACATCCTCTGGTGATTTCATTATTACAGGTCCGAAAGGGATCTCTTAATACCACAAAAATGTTTCGTTTGCTTCTCATAGTTCAATAATATTCTTTCAGCGTCTAACATCTGCTGATATCCTGTTCTTCAGTGAAAAGTAATGCTAGGTGCTTGAGTAAAGTTTTCGGGACATATTTTTCAGGTTTCTCAACAACGTATAGTTCTGGTATACTAATCATGTGTAGGGGTTCAGTTCCCATTTTAGTTGATGGTTCTGTTTGGTATTAGCTAATACAAGCCTTATGTGTTGATGCTTCAATAACCATATCCTAGTCATGTAAATTCATCTTAGAACTTCTTCAATAACCATATCTGTTGTTGTATTTTAGCTTCTGAAGTTACATTCTGTCTAGATAATCGTACAAATTGAGTAAAAGAAGTGAAACTTGTACTGTCTTTTCTCATCTTGTTTTAACCGTACACATGTTATGGGTGAGCAGGAGCAATTGTTGAAAAAGAAGGCAGAGTACATTGAGAAAATGAAAAACAAGATTGCTCTACTCCACAAGTCAGCAGAAGAAAAGAGAGCGATAATTGAAGCTAAACGTGGAGAAGATCTTCTTATGGCAGAGGAGACAGCAGCAAAACACCGTGCAACTGAAACTTCTCCAAAGAAACCTCTCCTTGGATGTTTTTGAAGTGGCAAAATATCATATAATCCTATACATTATTGGTTACAAACATTGTATAGTGAAGTGTGCGGACTGGGAATTTCTTTGTGTTAGAAACAACATTGTGATATTATGCTCCTGGAGATAATTATCTGTCAAATTGTATTGAAAAAACTTGAAAGAAACCTTCCATGTTAGCACAAATCACGATGTATGAAACCCTCCGCAACATCACGATGAGCACAAATCAACCTTCCATGTTGCGGAGGGTTTCATACATGAGATTTTTTTTTGTTCATTGTCAGATTCTCGTAATTGGGAGGCTCTGACAATCCATCTATAAGCTTTTAATGCTTGATCAATGAAAAAGAAGAAAGAGAGCAAGGACAACATTTCAGAGAGTTGAGCATTTATAAGTAACCAAAAGCTTAAGTGGCAACATTTTATAAATAAACTAGGAAATGAGAAGGAATGGAATGTATCTTAATTTGTTCTGGTTGTGAGGAAGTTTCTGTGAAGCCTCTTACTTTTAACTAATCTCTAGTTTGTACCCTTTTGATAGAAAAGCTTCGATTAGAAGAAACCTTAAATTTTGATACGTACTGGTCACAATTCCATCCTCAAATATTCACCGAGACTACAACCAAAAATAAGAAGACAACATCTCACTACTCAGCCAATAAGGGACAATCTTAAAAATATAAAAAGCTTGAGTCTGTAGCTCCAGCAATATAATTCTGCTCAGTTCTTTCAATCCCTCTTGTTGTTGCTACTGTTCTTCTATGCACCAACTTAATAGCATTCTAATTTTCTGAAGCCAAGTCATTAAAGGATTTAGTATCATTTTATGCTAACAAATAAGGGTAAATTGGTGATTAACTCGGGCTGTTATCGCTATAAAGAAAACAGGACCTTAAAGCACTGATGGTCCTGGTTTATTAATTTTAAAACTATTTACAAAGAAATTACTCTCTAAAGGAACTCATAATATGTACATGACATCACCGTTTATGTTGAAATCACCAGATAACAATTCTTCAAATCCATTTGTAGACAACTGATCCTCAAACTTGAGTTGTGCTTGAAACATATCATTATCTACTGTTTCATTGTTAATCCCTTGAATATTTATGTCATTTTCATAGGCACCTTTACTCATCACGAAAGCATCTTGGAACTCTGAACTATTGTAGCAAAAGTTATTCTTGGAAAGATCTGAATTCTGGAAATCCTGGCCATTAAATTGATCTAACGAAAACCACTCGGCGAATAATACTTTACGAAACTTGCTTTTACGAGGTTCATTTAAGAAATCCACCGGTGAAACATCTTGATCTGTATCTGCCAATGATCCTACTGTTTGTGCAAATGAGTCCAAACTAGAGTTTCGTGAAGCCAACTTCAGTGAAGAAGAAGATACTCCATCTATATTTTGGCTCTGGCCTTCACTTTCTGCTATTTTGTCCACTCTCTTCTTTAGATAAGAATGCCAATGGTTCTTAATCTCATTATCAGTCCGTCCAGGCAAATGTTGTGCTATCCGAGACCACCTGTTTAGAACGAACCTTGTTAGATACTCAATATAATGAATAACTACCATATGTTCTTAATTAAGGTAAAATTTAAATCCAAAAGTTTATTAGCTAGTCTAGTGAACAAGATTTTCCTTCCCTTACTCTCCCACAATGTGTATTTTGAGCCATATAAACTTGATCCACCTAAGGCTTTTTTAGGATGGTCAAAAATCTTTTTTCACTGTCAATATATATATATATTAATCTCATTTACAAAAAAAGTTCCTCTATGCAGAAGCGAAGCTAGAAGCCTGAATACAAGTTCGGTGAACCCAATAGCTTTTGTTCAAGCATTGCATTTGTGTTAAAAAGTACATCAAATACGTAATATTAAATTTAGAAGGAATAAGGGTCAAATATACCCATATACTATCGAAAATAGTCTACATTTACCCTTCTTTATACTATCGATACAAAAATACCCTCGACGTTAATCAACAGTTCAAATATACCCCTCTTCTTTTAGGGATGTCCAAGGTGAAGTTCAATGCGATGACGTGGCTATTAAAAACAAATAAATCAAAGACAAGTCAGCAAACGACCCCTAAAAAAAATCCAAGTCTTCAATCATATACGCAGCTCAGAAGGACCACATTTTTCTTCTTTCAATCCCTTCAATCGTGAAACTCCATTACCACCAGCCAATGGCGTACACAGATTTTTTTATAAGCGGTGTCACACTTAAGTAAATAAATACATAAATAAATTGTTATAAGAAGATCGAATCAATAAAAAGTAGGGAATTTAAATGCATTAATGTAATTGTCATTAACATTCAAAAAGAAAACAGAAAAAGGGGGGAAATATTTTTAAAAAAAGAAAGCAATAAATAAAGCTAAACCTTTGCCACTAGTAAGCAAAGATGATACTAGTACTGAGCAAGATTGATATATTGAGAATTTTGCTAAATGTAATTGTCATTAACATTCAAAAAGAAAACGAAAAAAGGGGGAAAATACTTTTTTTAAAAAGAAAGCAATAAATAAAGCTAAATCTTTGTCATTAGCAAGTAAAGATGATACTAGTACTTAGCAAGATTGATATATTGAGTATTTTGCTAAAAGGAAAGAAGAAGCCAGCGTCACAATGGGGAGACTCGATCCTGCCACCTACCTAATAAAATGTAAGTAGCATTTTCCCACTGCGCAAAGGGAATGCATCTATCAATTGACGTCATCCATTTATATTTAAACCGTTTTTACCGTGCAGATATCATTTTTATACATATTAGAGCCGTCAATATGGTTTTCCGGTTATTACGGGGTTGCACCAAGGATCTGCATTCAGCCCTTTCCTATTTGCCCTGGTGATGGATGCTATAACGCATCATATTCAGGGGGAGGTGCCATGGTGCATGCTATTTGCTGATGACATAGTCCTAATCGACGAGACACGATGCGGCGTCAGCGAGAGGTTAGAGGTTTGAAGACATACCCTTGAGTCCAAAGGTTTCAGGTTGAGCAGGACGAAGACGGAATACCTTGAGTGCAAATTTGGGGCAGAGCCGACGGAAGCGGGAGTGGAAGTGAGGCTTAATTCTCAAGTCATCCTTAAGAGGGGTAGTATCAAGTACCTGGGGTCGTTTATTCAGGGGTCCGGGGAGATCGACGAGGATGTCACACACCGTATAGGGGTGGGGTGGATGAAATGGAGGTTAGCGACGGGAGTCCTGTGTGACAAGAAAGTGCCACTGTTACTGAAAGGTAAATTTTATAGGGCAGTGGTTAGGCCTGCTATGTTGTATGGGACCGAGTGTTGGCCGGTGAAGATCTCACACATCCAGAGGATGAAAGTTGCAGAGATGAGGATGTTGAGGTGGATGTGCGGGCATACAAGGAAGGATAAGATTAGAAATGAAGATATTCGAGAGAAGGTGGGTGTGGCCCCCATGGAGGACAAGATGCGGGAAGCAAGACTCAGATGGTTCGGGCACATTCAGAGGAGGAACACTGATGCACCGGTGAGAAGGTGTGAACGACTGGAGGTGGTGGGTACGAGGAGAGGTAGAGGGAGACCTAAGAAGTATTGGGGAGAGGTGATCAGGCAGGATATGGCGCGACTTAGGGTTACTGAGGACATGGCCCTAAACAGGGAATTGTGGAGATCGAGCATTAAGGTTGTAGGTTAGGGGAAATTGTGATGTCTTTTTTACAGCGCACTAGAGTGAGACTAGCCAGTTAGGAATTAGTCTTAGAATGCTATTGATCAACTACTGATGATGAGCTTTATCTTCTGTGTATTAATACCTTACATCTTTCCCGTATTTCCTATATCTCTTATATTGCTGTTACTTTGTTTTTTCTGGTATTTATGTTATGTTATGGANGTCCAAAGGTTTCAGGTTGAGCAGGACGAAGACGGAATACCTTGAGTGCAAATTTGGGGCAGAGCCGACGGAAGCGGGAGTGGAAGTGAGGCTTAATTCTCAAGTCATCCTTAAGAGGGGTAGTATCAAGTACCTGGGGTCGTTTATTCAGGGGTCCGGGGAGATCGACGAGGATGTCACACACCGTATAGGGGTGGGGTGGATGAAATGGAGGTTAGCGACGGGAGTCCTGTGTGACAAGAAAGTGCCACTGTTACTGAAAGGTAAATTTTATAGGGCAGTGGTTAGGCCTGCTATGTTGTATGGGACCGAGTGTTGGCCGGTGAAGATCTCACACATCCAGAGGATGAAAGTTGCAGAGATGAGGATGTTGAGGTGGATGTGCGGGCATACAAGGAAGGATAAGATTAGAAATGAAGATATTCGAGAGAAGGTGGGTGTGGCCCCCATGGAGGACAAGATGCGGGAAGCAAGACTCAGATGGTTCGGGCACATTCAGAGGAGGAACACTGATGCACCGGTGAGAAGGTGTGAACGACTGGCGGTGGTGGGTACGAGGAGAGGTAGGGGGAGACCTAAGAAGTATTGGGGAGAGGTGATCAGGCAGGATATGGCGCGACTTAGGGTTACTGAGGACATGGCCCTAAACAGGGAATTGTGGAGATCGAGCATTAAGGTTGTAGGTTAGGGAAATTGTGATGTCTTTGTTACAGCGCACTAGAGTGAGACTAGCCAGTTAGGAAGTAGTCTTAGGATGCTATTGATCAACTACTGATGATGGGCTTTATCTCCTGTGTATTAATACCTTACATCTTTCTCGTATTTCCTATATCTCTTATATTGTTGTTACTTTGTTTTTATGGTATTTATGTTATGTTATGGATTTTATGGTACTTTATGTTGTTTTATTATGAGTCTATTGATAGTACTAATATAGTGTCTCTTGTTGCCTCTTTGAGCCGAGGGTCTCCTGGAAACAGCCTCTCTGCCCCTCGGGGTAGAGGTAAGGTCTGCGTACATATTACCCTCCCTAGACCCCACTTGTGGGATTACACTGGGTTGTTGTTGTTGTAGAGCCGTCAATATGGGCTTGGCCCGTTGGGCCAGCCCAGTCCGTGCTTTAGTAGGGCTGAGCTAGAATTTTTGGAGCCCGTTTAAAAACGAGACTTTTAAGCCCGGCCCGAGTAAGTCCGTGACCCGTGAGGCTTGACTGAGGCTGGGCCGGGCCGGCCTGTGGGCCTAATAAAATATTTATTTAAAATATATAAAAAATGAAAAGTATGCTGCCTTTAGAGATGGAAAGTCAGAATTGGATCTTTACTAAGAGGAAAACTTGATCTTAAGAAGTTTCAAGAGATGATGTTGTCATGTATTGGAAGGACCATTCTAGAAAATATCACGATCTTTCAATGATGGTGCGTGATGTACTTAGTATTCTTATTACCATTGTACCATCGGAATCAACATTTAGCATCGGTGGCGTGTTCTTACAAAGTACAAAAGCTGCATTTATTATGAAAACGTCCAAACACTTGTTACTACTTGAAATTGGCTGCACAGGTTTTCCCGTACTCAAACTGGTAATATTTTTATGTGAATTTAAATATTAGTAATTTTTAAAATTTAATTATTTTTAAATGTGTTTGATGAAAATGATGTGTTGGATATCTCATAAGCATCATGAACGATCTCTTGAATAATTTGTTTTAAGTTTTGACTTTTAGTTAATGAAATATAGTCATGTCTTTTACTTGTTTAGTATTTATTGTGATATATTGGAACAATATAAAAAATTATTAAGTTTTATGAATTTTTTCCAATAAGATATTTTTTAACTTTTAAATAATTATCTTTTTTTAGGTCAGAACTTAAAGAAAAAATATAAAATTATATTTTTAAAAATGATGGGTCGGCCCGTGGGGGCCCGTGGCCCACATAGGGCTGGGGTGGGCTGACCGTTATAAGGCCCATCAAAATGGTTGGCTAACCCAGCCCAACAATTGCTAAAGCCCACATAGGCTAGGTTGGGCTAACCGACCCGGTCCATATTAACAACTCTAATACATATAATTTGTTAAATTTTTTGGCAAAGCGGTGTCACGTGACACCGCGTCACCTAATGTAAATCCGCTCCTGCCGCCAGCAACCCACCACTCACAAAACACATTATTGCCGGATTTCTTTTTTGAAACCTCTATACAAAAGCTTCTCCACTAATGCAACCATAGCCACGAGAATTTTGTTTCATAATGTGATGGAAAATATTTAATTTTGTCTATGTTTTTGCTTTCTGGAATTATGAATTTATGCCGTGTTCTTAAAGACCTTTTGCTGAAGTTGGATTTTGTAACGACTCGTGAGAGAAGCATTTTATATTTGTAGTAGTTAGGATCCTTCTGCAATGATTTCAATGGGATTGTCTAAATTCTATTCTATCTCAATGACTTAAAAAAGAATGTAAGAATTATTCATACCAAGTTAAAACAGAAATGACTGGGTTTCAACTCCTAATTCATTTTATGACCTATTTTATTTGAAGATTTTAACAACTTTAATTTGTCAATGGAGTATTCTCATGGCTATGGTGGTATTAATGGCAAAGCTTTGGTATAGAGGTTTCAAGATAGAAATCCTGTGGTAATATGTTTTGTTAGTGGTGGGTTGCCGGCAGTATTGGAGTTTCACAGTAGAGGGGATTGNGGGGGGGGGCTCTTTTGCTGACTTGTCTTTGATTTATTTGTTTTTAATAGCCACGTCATCACATTGAACTCTACCTTAGATAGCCCCAACAGAGGAGGGTTATATTTGAACAATTGACTAAAGTCGGGTTATTTTTGCACCGATAGTATAATGAAGGATATGTGTAGATTGTTTTCAATAGTACATGGATATATTTGACCATTTTGCCAATTTAGATCTCAGTTATTAGTACCTGAAATCATCGTTCTAAAATTCAGAACCCATAAAATTAAAATTCTGGCTCCGCCTCTACCCTAAGTCGGTTTTCATCTATTCCCTACCAACTATGTATTTTATGTATATTTTAAAGCCAGCTTTCAAGAATCATTTACCAGTACTTGTATTTCATTGTATTTAATAAAATTGAGGGCAGTCAAGGCTGCTAACAGCTTCATATTCAAGAAGAGTAAAGGAAATTATGGTCTCTTACTTGTTGCCTATCATGCCATGAAGGGTCAGGATAGTTTCCTCCTCTTCTGTGCTAAATGCCCCTCGTTTTAGGCCTGGCCTTAAATAATTAATCCACCTCAATCTGCAACTCTTTCCGTTCCTTTTTAAGCCTGTAAATAATTATATTAAAAAGGAATACCACATATGTCAACTCATATAATGAAGGATAGAATTGGTCTTGAGTTATTGGGTGTGCGAGTGAAGTTCCATATCGGTAGTTGAAAAGATTGGAAAGCTACATATATATGAGATGTAGAGATACTCTTAATATTATGATGCCTTCTGGGGGAAAACCGTACAGGTTTGGCTCGAATTAGATAATATCACATCATATTAAAAATATCTTTGTGCTGATTTAGCACAACATAATTCTAATCAATCCCTTTCTGTTATAAGAGAAAATTCAATTGTTTGTTGACTTATTGCTGCCACCCTAGTTGTTCCCAACAAATAAAACTATTCCCAAGTAGTGCAGCATAAATGAAACATACCTCTGTCAAAATGCAATGTATTTTCTGTTTTTTATTTGAAGACGTAGACTTTCAAAGCTCAATTCATAATCAAGAAACATTTTTATTTCTTTTCGCACGTCAAGATGCATGGTATCCGGGAAATTTAATTTGTTTACTGGTTGATTAAAATCATTGGTCAAAAGACAATAGTAAGTAATGGCTAGTAACAGTAGAAAAAGTGCAGTAGGTTACAAATACTCAAGCCCTTAAACTAGGAATTTTTATTTCGGTGAAGTTTAAATATCTCAATAAATCTAACTTAGCATTCATTGATCGATCTAGCCCAAGTTTAACTTAGTACTGTTGGATATCTGAACTATTTAACATACATGCTTGAACTAGTAAGCTCAAATGTTGTCCGCAAGTTAAGTTATGCAAGAAATAAAGAAACAAATATTGTACACGTTTATGAATTTTGTGGCCATCTCATCCGAAAGCTCATTATATTAGAGCAGACAGGAAGTCCACGACTTAAGTTTCACGATTACCACCCGAATCTTCACATGTTTGACCCATGAAAAATAATTAGGCTCTTGTGTGGGATGTATCAAAGACATAGTTAAACAAATAAAAGTGTGTTATATCAATAACTTATAAGTTTTTGATAAGATGATCACACAATTCAACTGTTAACACACAATCTATATTAAGCAAACTACTTACCAGCATTAATGGGGACGGAGCTCCAACAGACATGACCATACTTAATAATGTAGTCTTTGAGCTTCTGGTCTTCATCTGGAGACCACAGTCCCTTCTTGTGCTTTTGCTTTGGTTTGTCTACTGCTGGCTTGCATCTCATTTTCAAACAATTAAACAGGTATTGGTGAATGATATATGTTTCAGATGCTTGGAAGAAATATATATATGGTTTTTGTGTATGTCTCTGTAGAGGGAGAAAAGGAGGAGTTAGAAGTCCTAATGATGTGGTTAGCCGACCTGGTATTTAAAGGGAATTACAAACCAAACCACCTAATATAACACCTATTGATATATATACTACTACCATTATATGTCTCAATCCCAAACAATTTGGTTTAGCTATATAATTTCTCGCTGTTCATATCCAGTGCGGGGTTAGAACTTTCAATAAGGGTATTGAAAATATAAAGATGAAAATACAAGAAGTCAATAAATTTAGCATCTATTATATCTACCAAAAAAATAAAATTTAGCCTTGCAAATACACTATAATTTTCTAAGGAAGGGGATTCAAATGTACCCTTTTGAACCCTAGGCTCCGCCCATGTTCATATCTCTCCATTTAAATTTGTCTCAATACAATATTGTAACATGAATATTTAACCCTGAAAAATTACTAGGTGAAAAGGGATATAATTGATAGAATTGTTGTCCAATTCCGAGAATTGATTTGGAATTATAACCCCTTAAAACAAAAGTATCTTAAACCTTTAGGATCCATGTCTGGTGTCATTTAGCAGTCTTAAACCTACTTGACAAAAATCACTAAGGCCTCATTTGTTTTTTTTTAAGATTAAGACGTCTAAATTTGAATATACATCTGAATATCAAGAAGTGTATTAAGATTAAGACATCTGAATCTGAATACACATTTGAATATATTACGATGTGTATTAAGATCTGAATACTAAATAATTAAGACTGTTTGATTTTTAACATCTGAATGTATAAAAATTATCTTCATTTGAAAATTAATAAACATAAAATTCAATTAAAATACTAACTAATGTAATATTATATCAATAAAATATATAATTTTTTAAAATATGATAGTTGTTGGTGGTGATGACTAACAGGTGAATGCCGACTAGAGGCGGTAGTTGGTGGTAGTTTTGGTTGATGATGGTGGTTCATGCTAGTAGCTAGTAGTGATTGGTAGTGGTGGCGATTATGATTAAGGATGGTGGTGGTGGATGGTGATAGTTAATAATGGGGGGTGGTGGTAGCAGTGTGACTGAGGAAGGTGGTGGTGGGTGGTGGTGGGTTATAATGATGGGCAATGTCGNTGGTTGAGTATGGTGGTGGTGGTGGCATGGCGGTAGTTGATAATGGTAGGTGGTGGCGACAGTTAATAATGAATATGATTGCATCTTAATGAAATTAAGTCTCTGTTATAGATCTTACTCATGCAGACCTATTCAGGCCCATTAAGTGGTTATGAAGTAAAAAAACAAACACACTTAATGATTAAGATCTGAATAATTAAGATTCAAACTTTAAAAACAAAAACACCTAATGTTTGAGATCTGAATGATTAAGATTCAGACCTCCATTAAGGCCCATTAAGTGGTTGTGAAGTAAAAAAACAAACACACTTAATGATTAAGATCTGAATAATTAAGATTCAAACTTTAAAAACAAAAACACCTAATGTTTGAGATCTGAATGATTAAGATTCAGACCTCCATTAAGGCCCATTAAGTGGTTGTGAAGTAAAAAAACAAACACACTTAATGATTAAGATCTGAATAATTAAGATTCAAACTTTTAAAACAAACACACTTAATGTTTGAGATTTGAATGATTAAGATCAGACCTCCATTAAGTGCAAACAAATGAGGCCTAACTGTTTCTCAAGGTTTTTCGAGCCCCAAGCGCTAGTACTATATGTTTATATATATTTTGATTTCAAATTTTCTAACATATATAATTCTTGAAATACCAGGTTATATTATCATGGAATTTGTGTTGTCTTGTCGAGGTTATAAAAGGATTTCGCCTTTGTATGGATAAAATTGATGAATGACAAGTGGACGTTCGTCGTGTTGACATGTGACAGTAAAGATAGATAAGATATGAGTCAGCAAATAACTGATACCGATCACGGACATGTAACTGGTGTTGTAGGGGTTCCGAAGACATTAGAACCAGAGATAAAAGTTTGAAAGTGAGTTATCGGTTGAAGAAGGCACCATTCGAGGAGCAGCCGTTACAATGAATCTTTGCATTTATAGTCAACCGTTATGCAACTATCAAAAGGAGTCTTTACGGGTATATAGTTTGACACCCACTGTAGGGCATAGACAATTGTGGTATTACTTTGATCCATTCATCTGTTACTAACATATTTTGACACTTTTCTTTAGTAAAGTAAAAGCAAATATGACAACTAATGATGTTAATATCTCATTCAATGTTGGAACAAACAATGAGCATGAAGATATTTTTCGTGATGGAAAACAACATGATGATCCAATTAGTGAAACTCGCAATGATCGAGATGAGACAACTCCAGTTTGGAAGAACAAAATCTTCGGCGTGTTAAGAGTCCTACCCTTGATGATATAAATGATGAACCTGTTGTCGAAATGGTGAAAGTTTTGAGAGCGCAGGAAAGGTAAATCATGAATCATCTCTCAAAATAGGACTGAATAATGACTGAGCTCCAACAAGCACTTTCGATTGCCTCTAATAATTTCAATGGAGGTGTTCGAGCCCCTCCTAGCGTGCCTGCAAATCAAGAAGTAGAAAGAATAGTAACATCACTTCGAGAGATGAGCTTTGATTAAATAATAATCAAGCAGGTGGTGCAGGCAGTGGATCCGAGAATGATCCTATTAAAACCAAGTTCATGAGGTTCATAAGGGAAATGAGTGATCAGATTGATCAAAACGCTAAAGAATTTCATGCTCGAATGGATTAGATCTCGAGGGCACCTCAGGTATTGAAGGGCCCGAATTCAAAGAAATATACTAAGTTAGCATTCAAACCAAGTGCGGCCCCGAAGTTGATCTCAAAGAGATTTAAGATGCCGGATATACCAAACTATGATAGAACTTCGGATCCATGTGAGCACATCACGACTTACACTACGACTGTAAAGGGAAACAATTTGGCTCCACGGGAGATTGAATCAATTTTACTAAAGAAATTTGGCACAACCCTTACAAATGGAGCTTTAACGTGGTATTCTCCTTTACCTGAAAATTCAATTGATTCTTTTGAAACGCTTGCAGATTCATTTATCAAATCTCATGCTATGAGCACGTGATTTTTGCCCTATATGAATTACTTCCATAAATTCAAGAAATAAATTTTCCCATTATTTGCAATTTTTGTAGATTTTTCATAGGATTTTTGTTAATTGTTTGCATTTGTCCATGCATGTTTATTTTATTTAAATCATGAAAAAATACAAAAAAATACCTTGCATTGTATTTGGGGCTTATTAGTAACTTAGTTGTTCTATAAAAATGGAAAAATCACAAAAAATGACTCACTTTACATTTTTAACCTTTTAATTTTAAATTTTATAGTCCTTTTAATTTAGGAGTTATTTAATTTTTGTAAATACTATGATGAGTAGTTAGTTTAAATTGGTAAATTATTTTAAGTTAAGAGTCATTTTGTTTTGTTAATCAATTTGAAAAGAACAAGAGAAATTGGGAAATTGAAGCAAAAAAGAGAGAGAATCAGAATTGGGTTAATTTGGGCCAAACGTTCAATTGAGCCCAACCTCTCTCCTCTCATTAACCCGCCTAGTCCAGCAATACCTAGTCCAAATCCTCACTATGGCCAAACGAAGCTGTTCCGACTCCCTCCCATGTCAACTGTTGGANCAAATTGACCCCCTCACTTCATCTCCTCCTTCAGGTTCTCTCTATGAACCCTAGACCCGCCACCCTAAATTCCTCCTCCATCTCCATCGGCGGCGTTCCACCCAATCAACCCAAAATTCGTCCTCTACGATCCTCACACCCCATGGAATATGAATACAACACGAATTTCCCCAAAATCCCCACCTTTTCTCTTCAATCCCAAATCTGAAAATTCAAAAAAAAAAACCCTAAGCCATCCTTAACGCCGATTTTCATGTTTCCAAGGCTCGATCTGACTCAAGACTTACATTAGTTGATTGTTCTCGTTCAGAATAATTGATTAATGGTAGTTTTAGCTCACTTCAAGAGTTACCAGCTTCTGACCAGACCATTGACGCCGGCCAAGTTCGTCGTCTTCATCGATTTATTCCGGTTAAAACCAGTACCATTCCTTCTTCTTTTTCTTTTTCTTGTGTCCGTTTTCTGGTTCTTGTTTGTTGTTGGTTTGAATTAGTTTTAGTTTGCTTAAAATCAACAATTCTAACTGTTTGAGTGCATGATTAGGATTAAATGTTTTATCATGATTTTTCTGTTTGATTTTTTTAATTTTATTTTGGCCGGATTTATTTAGGGTTAGTCATTGATTTCGAACTAATACTTAGCTTATTAAGTGTTTGCTGAGTCAGAATTATTTTTCTTTATTCCAGCTCCTTTCTTCTTTGTTCTTTTCCTTCAATTCGCCCTTAGTGTAGCCTGGGTCAGAGCTTGAGCTTAAAATGCTTAGTTGGATGATTTAAGTTTTAGCTGTGGGTCTTTCTTTTTTTTGGTCATCACTGACCCGTTTCAAGAAACCAATTCATTTTGGTTTGGGTTTTGGGTCAAACTTGACCCATGTGATCTTCTGAAAGTAAATTGTAGGGGGCAGAGGGTTAATTTGGGTATTTTGAAACTTAGGGAATATTTTTCTGTTAGCATAGAAGCTTCTAGAAAATAAGGTTTGGTTGGTTGGTTAAGAGGAGGGAATTTTCAGATATTTTGAAGGGTTAAAAGAGGTAAAATGACCATGAATTGGGAGGGTAAAAGAGGAAATAGTTATTCAGGCTAGGGCTGCCTTAGGCTGCTTATATAAAGACTTCTTTGATTCATTTCAGAGGCAGCCTGGATACCTTGAAAAATACAGAAAGTTTTCTGCATCATTTCAACTTAAATTGCTGAAAATTGCTCTATAGGTTCATTGTTAGGAATAGCTTAAAACTTTCAAAAGAATTTCTGGTTCATCTTGGTCCGAAAATGGTCTAGAAGAATTGAGTAGTGCTGTTGATTGATGTGCTGAGCTGCTGTTACTGCTTGAAGTCCTCACTCATTTGCTTTTGTTTTGATTTCCAGGTATGCCTTGGCTCTTG